GATAACAAAGATTTAAATGGGTGGGTGCAAAAAACAAAAGTGGCGTTTGTCCATTGGTTCGGAAGAAACGTAATAGAGTAAGCAGATTACAAAATTACATTCCTCCATTGATGAAGAAACTAGGGGGATGTTGAAGACAGGCCTCCTCTACATACTGACAGCGTGGTACCAGGATCGGATTGAAGGACACACGCGAGCGAATATTATATGTAGAAAATACATATACATTTTTTCTTCCCCGATGAATTGTGGTTTTTCTCCCCGACGGAGAGGACTGGCCATGTGCACTCTCAGTCACAAAGACACAATGTATGTGACTAGAGCCCCCAATGGAGCCACCCAGACGAAGGGAGAGGGTCGTGCCCGGCTATTTGGTTTCTTTCGGACGGTGCTTGCTACTCCTAGAAAACTCTCTGCTTCTCCTTTCCATAACGTGGACTACAATACTACACTTCACTATGGTGGAGCTCCTCCCTAATGATTGTGCTATATTGATAGGTCTTGAATATACGCCCTCAACCCCCCTCCCATATGGTTACTCCGTTACTATTACCAAATATTGAACAGCTCTCACTGGATAACCGATCAGCCGACATATCTACCCAGGAGTTTGACTTTGTGGCAGTATTGGCGCCAGCGGGGGAATGGAAGGCAGGGAGAACATTTGCCCTCCCGTCGGACAGGCCTTCCCCTGTCGTCCGACCAGTGGCGTAACTAGGTTCTGATGGGCCCTGGTTCGAGAGTACCGTCGGGGCCCTTGACGCATAAATTAGAAATTACTACTCTTTTACTGAAGTAATCCATATACGAATACCATCCCCCGCTGAACATCATTCCGTCCGCGAACCCATGAAATCGAGTATTGTACAATTTACATAAAGTAATGATCCGCCGGCACCATCCAGGATCTTAGTCTTCGGGGCAGGAATATTGATTACTGAAGTATTATTAGCCTATATACCGCATATCATATTTTTACTAAATTAATCTATGCCATAATAATGTGCTCCCCCATCGGACATTATTTCCGAGTCTAGGTTACTTAAGGAAATAAAAGTACCAATATAGTAACTGGTATCCTCTTCGACATGGTAGTTTATTTCTAATATCTGTGAGTAGAGTAGCCCTATCAGTAAAAACCACTGCTCGGGGGCCCATGTTCAATTTAACTGTGTTAACGGCTATCTTTATTATTATTATAATATATAAATATATATATATATATATATATATATATATGCCAATCATAAATCTTATCCTTCAAAAGCGAAAAAAATGAATTAAACCCCCCAATTGAGTCAATCCAGCACATACAACTTGCAATGAAGCTGAACGTTATTGCCAGCAGTAGGCCCTAAGTATTATAGCCGTTGTAAATTTCACAAAAGCTGTCATACATCATGGAGTAAAGAATATTCTTTACTCCATACATATATAAAGCAATATTTGTAACAATGAGACAATAGAATACCGTGCTTTTAGGCACATAATACTGCCTATTCATAATTAGTAACAAATATAGCAATGGTGAATAGGAGAATATATATAAAATATTCGTTTCCTGATAAATACAACTAGGACACATTTTCAAACAACTGATGCATGGTTTAATTTCTCACTGGGGGCACTTTTGTCTTTTTCATACAGTTGATAAAGGGCTTTTACTTTGATAGGTTATGCCTTATATGATCTTTACATCATTGTTCATTTAGCACTGTTTCTGTCACCATTCTATTAGTTATACCACAATGCTACGCAGCAACATTGATTCTATATGTTACTTCATTATAATACAGGTATGACTTCTAGGGTATTCTTTGGCAACAGTATATCGTTTTTTTGAAGAAATGTCCTGGTTGGGTTATATCTGTGATATACCAGGGGTAAATATGTATGACACTCACTTTGACAGCAAGAAATCACATTCTAATTCCCGCCAGGGGCACATTTTCAAACAGTTGATAAAGGAACTTTTTTTTTATCTGATAGGCTAATCCCGATACGATACTCACATCACTTTTCATTTATTAAAGCTCTGTTTTCACCATTATTTTATTATATAAACAGGGTGCTACACACAAAAATTAATTATATAATACATACATACACATATATATATATATATATATATTATATATATTTATTAAATTTCAAGATGGCGGCCATTTTGAAATTTAATATGGTGGTCTTCTGACATAATTTCTGATGGTTGCATGGTAGTCCCCTATATCGAAAACATGGGCAACGGTCTTTGATTGACAGTGCTAGGTACTGTAGATATGAATATTGACAAAAATATCATTAATTTGGCGGCCATCTTGAAATCAAATATGGCGGCGCCATCTGACATAATTTCTGATGATTGCATGACACTCCCTGATATTGAAAACATAGGTTAAGATCTTCATTTGGCAATGACATGTGCTGTAGATATGAATATATTGGCTAAAATCAAATATTTTGGCGGCCATATTGGATTTTAATATGGTGGCCATTAGGAGGCGTTATTTTTTGGGGTATATTTTTTAAAATGATCTTTAAGTATCATAGTATCACTGTGGGAAGTTTCATGCTTTCTTCCAGAAGTGCACGATTCTACCTGAAATTCAACCTTAGCCGCTCTACTATTACGCCAATGCGTCCGACCCCACAACGAGGTTGTCGGATCAAAAAATTTAAAAATATAATTTTTCTATTCAAATAACGTTATTTTGTTTGCCAATCTTTATTGTTGTCTAAAAGCAGGACATTTAGCCATAAAAACTCCCCATGTGAACCCTACCAGAGATTTTTTTTTTCCTGGACTCGGACCGAGGCTCTAGTCTGTCCCGGATCGGACCCCCGTCGGACCCCTTGTCGGCAAATTTCTGGAGCCACCGCCGCTGTCGCAACCACGTCAACTTTATAAATGCGTGTCCGGGCCTATATGGATTTCCCTAATGGGTTTTTTTTTTCATGAGAGGTTGAGCATAAAAGGAACCTCATTTTCGGATCATTCTTCATGGGTGAGAGAAGTAAACAGAGCGTGAAATTCCCCTTGAAATTGTTCTTTCAAGATCTATACACAAAAACCATTCATTATGACGTCACAATGGTCTTCTCCTTGTTCTTGAATTAAGAAAGCACAACGACAGGTTTCTCGAACACAGTACAACACGGTTAATGCCTATACAACAATTATCATTGATGAAGTTGAATCATATATTTGAACTGGAATCATTCTAGATACATCACAAGGCACCCTTGGTCACAATTTAAGCAGGTTACAGGCCTACAAGGCCCCACCGGTACTTCATATCACCATAGAAGAAAAATTGCATTTAAGGTATGTAGCAAAAGAAAAAAAACTACTGCATTCGCGTATTAATTAGTAATATAAATAAGCAGCCATCAACAATGAATAGGACTACAAGAAATATTTAAATGCATGATGCCTTTGGCTCTACATCGCTGATTATTATAAATGCTTCATGTTGTGACGAATGACTAGCAGTAGATGCCTAAATGGTGTCATAACTAAATTTAGGCCTTTAACTCAGCCATGCTGTCGACCATGGGCGCAGATCATGGGGCAGGGATTCCCCCACACACACACACACACATTTTTAAGGGGATGGTCCCCCTTTTCGACCGCAATGTAATTTATAGGAAGATCGCAGAAATTTGTTGAAATGAACTGCATATGACCCAGGTTTTAACACTAGTTCGGTACAGAATAAATGACGATGAATTTTACTATACATTTTCGCACATCACCCATGGTGGGCTGGGGTAGGTGGGTGTTCATTCACGACTGTCCCCACCTTTAAAAGCAGATCTGCACCCTGTTGCCGACTCATTATTTTAGAATACTGGAAATTAATTCACTTCAAAATTGTAGATTTACCATAAATTTTCTTATCATTTTGTAATTAATTCTTTATTATTAGACATTGAATTGTTGTTTCGTTCGAAGTTGTAGGCATTTACGGTATAAAATATAAATACTCTTTGGAAGCATCACGGTACAATAAGGTTCTTATAACAACGGCCATGAGGTGCAAAAAGGCAGTGAGAGTGTGATGTGTATTTTATAGGCAGTGGCGTTTAGGAGTCTCTAAATACGGGAGCTGATGGGGTGGGGGAAGCAATTAGTACTAGGGGTAGGCCTATCATACACATTTTTGTAATAGGCCTATAAACTTTGAACACTAAATAATAAAATAATGTAATAGAAATAGGTAGGCCTAGGCCTATACTTCTACGACGTACCACCAAAACCTTTGTCAGAAATGTGAGGGTACGTACGTACTCAGTACATGAACTGTTTCTGTTTCATGTTATTTTATTATAATTATAAATAATTATAATCAGACTATATTCAATAGATTTATCAGTTGTCTGCCTTAAGTTAGGCATATAGTAGAGAATTGATTTTTCAACTGATTCTGTGATTATGACTGTTTCCATGGATGTTTTGTGTCATTTTAGAAATATTAGGAATGAGTTTTACTTGTATGATCCTCTTTTGTGTTTCTTAGCTTTAGTGGGATATTGCCCTATAAATATTTTATTATTTAATCCTTTAAAAGTTGACATTGTTCACTGTTGGGTTCTAATGAAATTTTTAAAAATAAATAAATAAAATAAATTTATATAGAAACAGAAACGGGAGTTACCGTACTCGCGCGAATTCAGAGGGGCGCTTATTCAAACGGGGCGCTTATGAAAACAGAGTGGATCCATGGAAATTGGGGGGCGCTTAGGAAATATGAAAATTGAGGGGTTTTTCTAGAACTTGGAAAATCCAATGGGCAATATTTGAATTTAAAAAAATATATAGGCCTACATCTGAAAACCGAAGATTACGAATGGTTCTGGTGCAGAAAACATAATTGTCTAGAGAGCATGGCTCGTAACAAGAATTCTGTGAGTTTCAACAGCAGATGAAATGAGTGGTGGTGGTGTATAACTATAAGCTTGTTGGCCATGGTCTGCCGATTGAGATTAGCAGGATCACTGCAGGGCTTCTTGCAAAACTCACATGAAAACGTGCTAAAGGTGCAAATTGTCGGGAAAAGAGAAAGAGAAGTAGACCGTAATGTAAGAAGAGGAAAGTTGGAAAGATACTCTACGGGGAGCTCTCATCTGTCCAGGATAAAATATCCTCATTTTTTGAAATTGACATAAAAAGAAAATGTTAATCCACTCCGCAGCTCAAATCATGCCAACCACAGTCTCGGGTTAGTTAGATTATCGTTTGCTAAAAAAAACATCAATCACAAGATATTGTTTAAAAAAATGAATAAACACTTACTTATTCAAACGGGCGCTTATTCGCGCGAGTACGGTATGTGCGGACCCCTTCAAGGTTTTGGACTTTTCCATTAACTTTTAGGGTTATTGCACAATTTAGCCTCTAATCGAGTATTCCTATCTCAAGAAAACATTTTTTGAATACAATTTCATTTAAAGAATATGTAACTTATAAGAAGTGAGCTGATAATAATAATACTTAGGCCTCTATAAGTAATGTATAATTTTGTGATTTGAGTAGGCCTTAGTTGGCAGTTGTATGTCGACCGAACCATGACTGAGTCGATCCAGTGTTCCACTCCGTTTGTGTTGGGCCATTATACTGTATAGAAGGTTTTTTACTACTAAAAAGGGGCGTGTAGGCCTAGAGCGAGTGCACGGAACACACACGAACGCCCAGCTAGGCCTGGCCCTAGCCTATCTATATTGTAGTCCTCAGCTGTGTTAGTGAGGTAGCCTAGTTCATCGATAGTACAGTAAAACGATAGTTTTCGAATAATTCTTGATGCCAAGGGAGAGGCGACCTCCTAAACGGTTTAGAAGTAAGTTTTAATTAAATGAATGCAACCCGTACTGAACTTGGCTAGCCTAGGCCTAGCCTCATTTTGCAAGAATGCAACTTGGTTCTTCGAAGCCTGCCTGGACCCTGGATTTATGTACATACATCCGATTTCTGTTTTTGTTTTTGTCTAGGCCTAGGCTAGATTAGGTTGGTATTCTCAATCGACTGCCTGACCACTTTTAATAATATCTGCCTAGGGCAGGCCAGGCCTAGTAGTACAGTCTATTAGGTTAGCTACAAAAACTGCTGCTTAAAATGTTGAATATTTTCATTACACTTCTGCCTTATTCAAAGATAAAGGGTTTAGGCCTAGGCCCTAGTAGGAAGGAGTCACTTCCGGGATAAATATATTGTTGTTCTTATAGTACATTACATAACAACATTCTTTTTTTAAAACATGCAAACATTTTGAATTTGTAGATGTAGGTTTTCAGCACTCTTTGTCCTTCTGTCGCCTTTAGCAA